AACAACGTCAGCGCATGAACAGAATAATCGGGTTGAGACTAGTTGACGGTTCGGTGTGTGCTGATCATGAGGAAGACAAAATGGAAATACAGTCATTCTACTAGAATCTCTACACCTCGAAAGGGGTTTTTGACATGAGTGAGCTGTTGGATCATGTTCCTGAGAAGGTGACACCGGAGATGAATCAGTCGTTCGATCGGCCATTTGATGCAAAGGAGGTACACGATGCACTTTTCCAAATGGCCCCATCCAAGGCTCCCGCAGTCGATGGATACACAGCGGGATTCTTTCAAAGGCACTGGCAGCTTTTGAAAAATGATGTGACAGATGCAGTGCTTGGCTTTTTGAATGGTGGGGGATCTCCTGGGTTTAAATGACACGTCCATAACTCTTATACCAAAGGTACGACACCCACAGATGATATCTCAATTCCGTCCTATAGCATTATGCCCAGTTTTGTACAAGATCGTGGCTAAGGCGATTGCTAACCGTTTACGATGCTATATGGATGATATTATCAGCGAGGAACAAAGCGCCTTTGTTCCTGGCCGCTTGATCACTGACAACGTTTTGGTTGCTTTCGAAAGTGTTCACACTTTGCAAAGAAGGAAGAAGGGAAGGAATACTGCATGTGCACTAAAGTTGGATATGATGAAAGCATACGATCGCGTGGAGTGGCACTATCTCGAGGCCATTCTTCTCAGGCTCGGCTTTAGTAATGCACTTGTCAGGTTAATCATGAAATGTGTTACGTCTGTGCGCTTCTCGGTTCGAGTAAATGGAGAGCTACAACCATACTTCACTCCCTCGAGAGGCCTCAGGCAGGGCTGTCCGGTTTCACCATTCTTATTTCTATTGTGCGCTGAAGGTTTTTCCTCTCTCTTGAAATACTATGGTGGCAACATTGACAGAGGCGTCAGAGTAAGCTTTTGATCGCCATGGATAAGCCATCTCCTTTTTGCAGATGACTGCTTGATTTTCCTCAGTGCTGATGCGGCAAGTGTGCAGCGACTGAATGATATATTGCGGATATATGGGGAGGCGTCCGGGCAGTGTGTGAATCGTGACAAAAGTGCCATCTACTTCAGCCCGAACACTTCACATATCACCAGGCAAGCTCTAAAACATATTCTGGGGGTTAATGTTGAAGCTTTTAGCGAGAGGTACCTCGGCCTTCCCACGACAGTGGGCAGAATTACTAGCGGGACCTTTGATCACATTTGTGACCGATCAAGAGGCAGGATGCAAGGGTGGTCTGAAAGGCTCTTTGCGTGCGCAGGGAGGGAAACACTTTTGAAATCCATAGTTCAAGCCATCCCAACGTTCAGTATGAGTTGTTTCCTACTTACAAAAAAGGTATGCAAAAGCCTGACTTCCAGTATGGCTAAGTGCTGGTGGAGCAGCTCGATTGACAGAAGATCTCTTCATTGGATATCATGGAAAAATCTCACGGTACCAAAATGCAAAGGAGGTATGGGATTTCGTGATTACCATCTACTTAACTTAGCACTATTGGAAAAACATGGGTGGAGGTTCATGACCAAGCCCAATTCACTATGCGCCAGAGTTTTGAAGGGGAGGTACTTCCCCGATAGTGATTTTATCCAGGCCCAAGTGCCACACTCGGCATCGGCCATATGGCGTGCCATCATTGCCGGGCGGGAAGCCCTTGAGGTGGGAGTGGTTCAGCGTGTTGGTGATGGCTCAACTATCAATGCCTGGACCGACAAATGGATCCCAACCACTGTTACCCGATCACCGATCCTCAAGCCAGCGAACACTAGTGTTGAACGGGTGAGCAATCTGATCGATAACACGAACTGGACTTGGAAGCGAGACTTAGTCCGAGGTACATTTGCCACACCTGATGCCGATGCAATTCTGAATATACCACTTCGGCAAGGCGGTGGCGAGGACTTTCTTGCGTGGGCACATGAGAAATCTGGAAACTACAGTGTGAAATCAGCGCATCGAGCCTTGATGAATCGCAACGAGCACCAAGCTCTAGGCGAAGGGCCCGACACCGGAACTTCAGTGGATCAAACACACATGTGGAAGACACTTTGGTCTCTCAAAGTTGTCCCCAAGGTACATGTCTTCTGGTGGCGTGTCATGCGTGGCATCCTACCTGACGAGAAGACATTGCATCATAGACATATTCGAGATGTCAGTTTATGCAAACTCTGTCAAGCACATGAAGAAGATCTTGGACATGCATTAATTCATTGTTCGCATGCTAGACAGTTCTGGGACGAAGCGCGTCCTGTTCTGGATATCAAGCTACCGCGACTGCAGCCCTCTTCATGGGCTGGCGATATCTTATGTGGGTCTATGTTCACCGACAAGGAACGAGCAACTATAATCACCATTATGTGGTCCATTTGGAGTTCCCGCAATAGATGGTCGCATGATGGAGATAAGTTTGATCCGGTGAAGTCCGTCAAACTCACTAGAGAGACTTTGGCTCTACTTGATGTACCTAAGCAGCAAGCTGCAATGCTACCGGGACATGGCTGGCGGCCACCTGAACTGAATCAAGTAAAAATCAACACCGATGCAGTTGTGCGATTCGTGGAGCAGAAAAGTGGCGCCGGTGGTGTAGCCCACTCCCAAACAGCACTGATGGGTGCTTGGTGCAAGCCCCATCTGGGGGTCACTGATCCTATGATCGCCGAGGCACTAGCCCTATGGGATGGAGTAATCTTCGCCAACCTGAGAGGTTATGCTAACGTGATAATGGAGACCGACAGTCTGGAGATTGTGAATCTCTGGAACACTCGACATAACAGCCGCTCTGTTGTGGCACCAGTTTTCTTTGAAATTGATGAGCTAGCGGATAATTTCCACTTTTTTGTAATCCAACATGTTAGTAGATCCGCAAACGGTCTAGCACACCTGTGTGCTCAGCGTGCATGTAATGTGTCTGTAACCGAGAGTTGGCTCTCTGAGACTTCAAGTTTCCTGATAAGTAGTGGCTGACTGCCCGGCAAACACATTTGTTTGAATAAAGCTCAATAGTTCTATGCAAAAAAAAAAAGATTCCAGAATGTTGTTCTGTGGGCCCGCCCACCATGAAGGCTCGAACGTGTGGTGCGCCGTGCGTCGCTTCCTCTGTGGTGGAACGCGAAGCGGAAAATTCCCACCACAGCCCTTGCCGAATGACAAGACGAAAGGCGAACCCTTCTTCCATCTCTCTGTCTCCACTCGGCCAACTGGACAAGAGCCACGAAACCTGCGTCGGTCGGTTCATGGCGTGCAGCTTCTCCCCTTCCTCCGCCACGAGGCTCCAGGCGGTGGACGCGGCGGCCGTGAAGAGCGCAAGGGTGCCCCTCAAGGCGTCGGTCTCGCCCGCGCCGAGATCGCTGGGCGGCTGCAGGGCTGCCCGCCAGGAATTCGAGGGCGCGACACAGGATCCAAGCGTCTCAGGTACCGCCTGTCAGCTCCCTAACCAACCCTCCCATCAAGGTTTCGTCGCTGACTCGATTGCTGCACCTGGTGGCTTTGTAAGTCCGTAACCCTCGTACCATCGCTGCTGTTACCCGTGTAATCGTGTGAGGAAATCAGAGTCGCACAACGATACGGTCACTCTGCCCGAAGATGGCTGGAAGCTGGGTAGGATTGAAATGAAGAGAGTGCATATTTCTCTGACCTAAATAACCGTGTTTCGTACCATGTGACTTGAGAAATCCTGTAGTTTGTGATGATATCTAACTGAGATAGTGGGCACAATGCTCTGATTCTGTCGATTTATGCTCGATTGCAGAGGCTTTAAATCCATCTACTTAGCAAATCCAAAGCAAAAATCAGAAGTAATCAGTACATTCCCCATGTCTAGCTAGGATCCTTGTTCTGAGCTTCCCACGGTACCAGTTGTTGTTATCAGCAGTTTACTGACGCTGCCATCTCGTCTTCTGAAGTTTCTTCGGCACGCACACAGTTGGATCTCCTGGAGCAACTGACGTCGTCCTCCACACCTAATGGCACCGGTACCTTCCATACTACAAAATCACCATACTTCCTTCACGTTCCTGACCCCCTCTCTCATTGATAACTAACAGCATTACACCCCCTTATGCTCAGAGAATGAAACCGCTACGGAAACCCGTGTGCTCACCACCATCCGTGAACAGCTGGTAGCGCTGTACGGTGACAGGGGAGGCGAATTCACATTCACCCTCCCGTTGGGCAAGAGGCTCAGGGAAGGCCTCAAGACCCTCAACACCCTCACCGTCTCACAGAGAAGGAACATCAAGAGGCAAGCCATGCTCACCAAGGTTAGCGGGAGGAATGACTCGGTCTTCTTCGCGACTGTCGGTGCATTCGTCCTCGTGCCGCCTATCGCCATTTTAGCTATCGCTATCTTAACTGGTTATGTCCAGCTCTTGCCATGAATCAAGAAGCTTTTAGTTGTCATCTTCAGGCCTTTTCATACACATGAAGGCACTTTGGCTCTGCCAGAGAATTGTATGTCTGTATATATAGTTTGAATTTGTATATGGAGCATGTAGGTTTTTATCCATTAAGCAGCAGATATGGCATACGTATGTTTTATCCATTAGCCACAAGGAACATCATATTAAACTCAACAAGGAGGGTAAAAAAATAAGAATTAGCACTGTGAAATGTTGACAACCTGAAGAAATGTTGCATAGAGAACATGAGGATTACAGGTGCATTTCAACTACAGTTCTGAAACTTCTGATCATTTCTTCTTCCCTGATGATCAGAAATGTAATGATGTATCTGACTGCTTCCCACAAACTGTTCAAATGGTGTCTTGAAACAAGATCTAAAATCACTTCTCAAGATACAACACCAGAGCTTCCAATCCTCTGCAACCTCAACACATGTATAAAAGCTGTACAATCTTGTTCAAACGCACACTTGTCAAACCAAGCAATTTACAAGAGGATTTAGTAGCATTTACCATCTCCCCTTGACCGACCTTACAATATCCATCAATCTTCACACAGTCTTCTGTCTTCTCTTATTTGGAGAGTTCACTCTTGCACCATAACCAGCTCTTTCCGAAGAGTTGTAGGATAGGTCCTGCGATTATCGTTCGGTCTTAGCTGTTCGACCGGGAGACGTCCTTGCTTGATCATATAGCTCCACCTATCTATCAAGAGGTAGAAAAAAGCTAGGAAGGAGATCTCAACGGTAAGGAGGCCGGTCCACAGGCTCACGCTCTTGGCGGTTCTCTCATGATACGTGCGGAGGCCAGAGTAGACGTTTGCGATGCCAGTGGCGCAAATTGCGATGCCGAGAAGCCAGTGGAAGAAGAACCACAGGCTCCTTCCCTTGACACCTCTGTAGAGATTGATAGAGAAGGGATTCAGGTTCAGGTATGAACTTTGTAGTATGAAACATGAAAAGGTTGCAAAATTTGCAAGGTGCTACAGGAAAGTAGTTTTTCTCACCTTTCTGGTCTGAAGAAACCGATGATTGGCTGAAGCCACATGAATCCATACAATGCCAATCCTACTCTCTGGTGACTGTTACTGAAGGAGTTCTCAAAGTTCATCAAGGACAGAGCCGCGCCGCCAGTAGCAAGAAGTACAGCTGCGATCTGCAAATTCAGTCGAGCATGAAAAAATGAATCTGATGCTCCATGAAACATGGGAAAAAAAAGAAGACAGAAACATCTCTCGGATATAAGATATACAAACCTGAGAAATGACATGGCAATAGAAGAGCACTCTGTTGCATCTGCCGCTTTTTGATTTGCTCGACATTCTGACCAGCAGTATCCCTACAGGCATCAAGAGACCGAAAGAAGACCAGTGGAACAATGCGTGTAGCTTGAGCTGAAATGCTGTTCTAGGCGTCAGCTGCAAGAAAGAGATTTGTTGCTGTTAGCAGTGTATTAAATAATAGGAAAACAACCAAGAAAGACCTTGTTCTCCAACGAATGTAACCCAGAACCAAGTATCTTAGAGTGCGTGTGATCAGAAAACCACAAACTCGATGCAAGAAAACCGCCCTGATTACCTCGAGAGGATGCCCGGTCTTGTTGCGGCTTTGATTGAGTTCCTCCGTGGAATTCGACGAGCCATCGGACGGCAGCGTGAGAAGCGAAAGAACCACAAAGCTTGTGTACAGAAGGAGCAGTCGTCTTCTCCCGGACACCAGCATTTCTGCTAGGCTAGCCAATTCAATCCCTCCTCCCAAGAAACAAACCGACGAGAATGGGGACAAGATTCTATGCCAGCGACGAAGAATGAGAGAAGAAGAGGAGGGCCAAAATCCCGTGAACTGGAAGCCGAAATTCTGAAGTGGAGGTTGGTCAGCAGAGCCGGGCGGACGCCTTCTAGTCCTCTCTGCACAATGCAGGGGTATTTTGATGTTAGCAACGGTAGGCTCCCCTTTTGATTGGTGGCCTGCAAAATATATTAGTATGCCGGGAGGAGATGAGAGGGGGGAAAGAGATGCTTTTGAGGCGCATTTCGGCCGAGCTTTTACATCTCTACTCGTGGTGGTGTGATGATGGTGTGAGGTTAGGGACGGTAGGGAGAGTGGAGGAGAGGCTTTTGCCGTGCGGTGGCTGGTGGTGGTGCGGCGAGAACTGCTTGCTCTTCTTGGTTGTTGGTTGGTGCGTCTCCAGCTGAAACGCAAAAAGCAGGCTCCAAATCTTTGGTGCTCCAGTGATGAGTGCCGTCCTACTGAATGCAGTACTGTTTCTCCACTAAACTCGCTGGGCCATGGTTAACAATTTCTTCCAATATTTCGGTCATTTGAGCCACCCCAAATGAAATCAGTTTGGTAAACACTCGGGTTTTTCTCAATTTCTTTTCACAAATTCTCTGTGCCGAGACAAATTTATTTTCCACCGGCTAGTACACGGCCGGTTTCCCGAACCCTGCAAAAAGAAAAAGGGGGAAAAGGAAACATGTGTGCCAATGGTCTCCAACTCCATGTCTGCACGTCCGATGCTCGGATGAATCAGTCCATGCATGACCCCGTCGCCTAAGATACCTGCTCGCTTGTCACCAGTCTGATCAGGACCGGACAGGAGTATCTTTCAATTCGATTCATGTGATTTTGGCCTGCAAAGAGGAGGGTGCGAGGCTCATTGACATGGCTTGGAGATCTGCATGGCGTAAGAGGCCGCAAAGCTAGTGCTCGTTGGTTGCTAATACTAATGGGAAGACCGGTTGAGGAGTCCCTGTCAAGCTCCGTCAGTGCCTCTGCCTGGAGAATTTCCCGTATCTATCTTCTGTCGCGCAGTCGCGCTAGGCTCTTCCTTTGCATGATCATTAGATACGGCGATGCGCAGGGTCAGTCGGTTACGTTTCTTGATGGAGCTACGAGTGAGCATTATGATGATCGGCTCTACTGAGGGAAGTGGTATAAGTGTTTTTTTTCTTTTCTTTTTGTGTTCTCGTGATGGCGTCTATGTGGGTGACAGATTTTGTTGTTGTTTAGGAGTATATATAATCTGCCGTTGAGCTAAATATGCAAAATGATCAACCTTAACGCCAAGGCACGATGACAGACATCTGTCATCCTAAACATGAATGCATGGCTAACCTCTGCAGTCGCTAGAGGTTTCAGTATGAAAGTGTGTCCGCTCTGCCATGGACGGCTAAGATCTGCTCGTGCGGCCGCGCTTGCATTCATGCCTGCAATCCAACGGGCAAATGCTTCTGCACTTTTTAAGCAATGATGGAACCTAGAGGTAATGTTTGATTAACAGTGTTTTATATCCACCTGGGTCGTCCTATGTATGTACCCTGGTCCCTGGACCAGTACTCAAGTCTGCTGCATGCAAGTATGCAAGTCCTATGTAATGGTCGAGGAACAATGCAGAGCAGTCAGCCTTTGGTCTCCAACTCTCCATGCTATTCTAGTGTGCTACCATCATGTGGTTCTTCTTCGTAAGGCCAACACCACCGCGCGACCCCAAACGGACGTCCGTTTTGTCCGGATTCTGTCCGTTTGGGTATGGATTTGGGGTCGTGTCCGGACCTGTCCTGGGATGCGGTGGCCGTGCGCCCAGCGCGCGGCCGCATCCATTTGCCCCATCCTGTTCGTCGGGGCCAAAAATGCCCAAATTTACATCAAAACTAGTTTCGAACCCAAATATTTGTCTGAAAATTAAAATAGTTTTACAATCCAATTGAAATTGTCTTTAATAAAATAGTTTTACAACCAAATCAAAATTGTCTTGACTGAACATAAAATAGTTTTACATCTATTGGTTGCCAATGTGATCCCAGACGTGCTCAACCAAGTCATTTTGAAGATTCAAATGAGTGTGCCAATCACGCATCTCACGGTGGAATTGGGCAAACTGTTCAAATATGGCCGGGTCTTGGTGCAGGGGCTCAATATTTTCACCTTGATAATCAAATCCTTGGTCGAAGATACTCTCATCACGCTCGTCCTCGACGATCATGTTGTGCATGATCACATAAGCAGTCATCACCTCCCAAAGCTTCCCTTCATCCCATGACAGTGCAGGGTTTCGAACGATACCCCACCGGAATTGAAGCACACCAAAAGTATGTTCCACATCCTTTCTAACACTCTCTTGCATTTGGGCAAATCTCTTTCTTTTCTCACCTTAGGGTTTCGAGATTGTCTTCACAAAAGTTGACCACTAAGGATATATACCATCTGCTAGATAGTATCCCTTGTTGTAATGGTGGCCGTTGATCTCAAAGTTGATAGGTGGGGAGTGGCCTTCTGCAAGCCTCGCGAAGACTGGAGAACGCTGCAGCACGTTGATATCATTGTGAGAACCTGCCATGCCGAAAAAAGAATGTCATATCCACAGATCTTGCGACGCCACTGTTGGGGAACGTAGCAGAAATTCAAAATTTTCCTACGTGTCACCAAGATCTATCTATGGAGAGACCAGCAACGAGTAGAAAGAGAGTGCATCTACATACCCTTGTAGATCGCTAAGCGGAAGCGTTCAAGTGAACGGGGTTGATGGAGTCGTACTCGTCATGATTCAAATCACCGATGATCCTAGTGCCGAATGGACGGCACCTCCGCGTTCAACACACGTACAGCCCGGTGACGTCTCCCACGCCTTGATCCAGCAAGGAGAGAGGGAGAGGTTGAGGAAGACTCCATCCAACAGCAGCACAACGGCGTGGTGGTGGTGGAGGAGCGTGGCAATCCAGCAGGGCTTCGCCAAGCACCATGTGAGAGGAGGAGTAGGAAGAGAGGTAGGGCTGTGCCAGAACTTCGTGTATAGCTCCCATGCGCCTCCCCACTATATATAGGGGTGGAGGGGCTGGTTTCTTGCCCTCCAAGTCCATTGGGGCGTTGGCCAAGGTGGGAGTAAAGAAATCTCATTATTTCCTTCCCCACCGATTGTTATCCTCCCTTTTTAGGGATCTTGATCTTATCCCTTCGGGATATGATCTTATTCCTTCTAAGGGGGATCTTGGTGCGCCTTGACCAGGGGTGTGGGGCCTTGCCCCCACTACCCACGTCCATGTGGGTCCCCCCATGCAGGTGGGCCCCACTCCGGAACCTTCTAGAACCTTCCCGGTACAATACCGAAAAATCCCGAACATTTTCCGGTGGCCAAAATAGGACTTCTCATATATAAATCTTTACCTCCGGACCATTCCGGAACTCCTCGTGACGTCCGGGATCTCATCCGGGACTCCGAACAACATTCGATAACCACATACAAACTTCCTTTATAACCCTAGCGTCATCGAACCTTAAGTGTGTAGACCCTACGGGTTCGGGAGACATGTAGACATAACCGAGACGTTCTCCGGTCAATAACCAACAGTGGGATCTGGATACCCATGATGGCTCCCACATGTTCCACGATGATCTCATCGGATGAACCACGATGTCAAGGACTTAATCAATCCCGTATTCAATTCCCTTTGTCTATCGGTATGTTACTTGCCCAAGATTCGATCGTCGGTATCCAATACCTTGTTCAATCTCGTTACCGGCAAGTCACTTTACTCGTTCCGTAACACATCATCCCGTGATCAACTCCTTGGTCACATTGCGCATATGATGATGTCCTACCGAGTGGGCCCAGAGATACCTCTCCGTTTACACGGAGTGACAAATCCCAGTCTCGATCCGCATAAAACAATAGATACTTTCGGAGATACCTGTAGTGCACCTTTATAGTCACCCAATTATGTTGTGACGTTTGATACACCCAAAGCACTCCTACGGTATCTAGGAGTTACACACTCTCATGGTCGAAGGAAGAGATACTTGACATTGGCAAAGCTCTAGCAAATGAACTACACGATCTTTTGTGCTAGTCTTAGGATTGGGTCTTGTCCATCACATCATTCTCCTAATGATGTGATCCCGTTATCAACGACATCCAATGTCCATAGCCAGGAAACCATGACTATCTGTTGATCACAACGAGCTAGTCAACTAGAGGCTCACTAGGGACATATTGTGGTCTATGTATTCACACGTGTATTACGATTTCTGGATAATACAGTTATAGCATGAATAAAAGACAATTATCATGAACAAGGAAATATAATAATAATACTTTTATTATTGCCTCTAGGGCATATTTCCAACAGTCTCCCACTTGCACTAGAGTCAATAATCTAGTTTACATCGCCATATGATTAACACTCACAGGTCACATCGCCATGTGACTAATACCCAAGAGTTTACTAGAGTCAGTAGTCTAGTTCACATCACTATGTGATTAACACTCAATGAGTTTTATGTTTGATCATGTTGCTTGTGAGAGAGGTTTTAGTCAACGGGTCTGAACCTTTCAGATCCGTGTGTGCTTTACAAATCTCTATGTCATCTCCTAGATGCAGCTACCACGCTCTATTTGGAGCTATTCCAAACAACTGTTCTACTTGGAGCTATTCTAAATTATTGCTCCATTATATGTATCCGGTCTCTCTACTCACAGCTATCCGGATAGGTGTCAAGCTTGCATCGTCGTAACCTTTACAACGAACTCTTTTACCACCTCCATAATCGAGAAAATTCCTTAGTCCACTAGTTACTAAGGATAACTTTGACCGCTGTCCTGTGAGCCATTCTTGGATCACTCTTGTACCCCTTGACTGACTCATGGCAAGGCACACTTCAGGTGCGGTACACAGCATAGCATACTGAAGAGCCTACGTCTTAAGCATAGGGGACGACCTTCGTCC